TTTTTTTTTTTTTTTTTTTTTTTTTTTTTTTTTTTGAGACGGAGTTTCACTCTTGTTACCCAGGCTGGAGTGCAATGGCGCGATCTTGGCTCACCGCAACCTCCGCCTCCTGGGTTCAGGCAATTCTCCTGCCTCAGCCTCCTGAGTAGCTGGGATTATAGGCACGCGCCACCATGCCCAGCTAATTTTTTGTATTTTTAGTAGAGACGGGGTTTCACCATGTTGACCAGGTTGGTCTCGATCTCTCGACCTTGTGATCCACCCGCCTCGGCCTCCCAAAGTGCTGGGATTACAGGCTTGAGCCACCGTGCCCGGCTTTATTGTATTTTTAAAACAGCTTTCCTGATATATAATTAATGTACAATAAATGGCATATAAAGTGTACAATTTGATTAGTTTTTTTTTTTTTTGAGACGGAGTTTTCACTCTTTTTTTTTTTTTTTTTTTTTTTTTTTTTGAGACAGAGTGTCGCTCTTGTTACCCAGGCTGGAGTGCAATGGCACGATCTCGGCTCACCGCAACCTCCGCCTCCTGGGTTCAAGCAATTCTCCTGCCTCAGCCTCCTGAGTAGCTGGGACTACAGGCACGCGCCACCATGCCCAGCTAATTTTTTGTATTTTTAGTAGACACAGGGTTTTACCATGTTGACCAGGATGGTCTCGATCTCTCGACCTCGTGATCCACCCGCCTCAGCCTCCCAAAGTGCTGGTATTACAGGCTTGAGCCACTGCACCCGGCCAGAGTTTTCACTCTTGTTACCCAGGCTGGAGTGCAATGGCGCGATCTCGGCTCACCGCAACCTCCGCCTCCTGGGTTCAAGCAATTCTCCTGCCTCAGCCTCCTGAGTAGCTGGGATCACAGGGACGTGCCACCATGCCCAGCTAATTTTTTGTATTTTTAGTAGAGAGGGAGTTTCACCATGTTGACCAGGATGGTCTCGATCTCTCGACCTCGTGATCCACCCGCCTCGGCCTCCCAAAGTGCTGGGATTACAGGCTTGAGCCACCGCGCCTGGCCAATTTGATTAGTTTTAATACATGCATAGCCAGGTGCAGTGGCTCATGCCTGTAATCCCAGCACTTTTGGAGGCCAAGGCGGGTGGATCACGAGGTCAGAAGTTCAAGACCAGTCTGGCCAAGATGGTGAAACCCTGCCTCTACTAAAAATAGAAAAATTAGCTGAGCGTGGTGACGAGTGCCTGTAATCCCAGCTAGTCAGGAGACTGAGGCAGGAGAATCGCTTGAACCCAGGAGGCAGAGGTTACAGTGAGCTGAGATCACCATTGCGCTCCAGCCTGGGCAACAGAGGGAGACTCTGTCTCAAGAAAACAAAAACAAACAAACAAAAAACAACAACAACAAAAAACCATGTATATACCAGTGAAACCATTGCCACAAGCAAGATAATGAACATATTCTTCACCTCCCCGAGTTTCCCTGTACTCCTTTGTAATCCACCCCTCACTTCCCTACTGCCATGTTCCCAGGCAGCCACTGTTTTGCTTCCAGGCAATATAGATTAGTCTGCATTTTCAGAATTTTATGTTATTTGAGATGAGATCTCACTATGTTGCTCAGCCGGGAGTGCAGCAGCCTGATCACAGCTCACTGTAGCCTCAAACTCCTGGGAACAAGGGATCCTCCCACCTCAGTCTCTCAAGTATTTGGGACTACAGGTGTGTGCCACCACACCTGACTAATTTCTTTTTCTTTTTTTTTTTTTGGTAGAAATGAGATCTCACTATGTTGTCCAGGCTGGTCTCGAGCTGGCCTCAAGCAAGTTCAAGCCTCCTCCTGTCACTGCCTCCCATAGTGCTGGGGGTGCCGCATGCCTGTCCTGTGGCTTGTCTTTTAGTTTTCTACTAAACAGTATCTTTTGAGGAACAAAGGATTTCAATGTTGATGAAGTCAAACTTATTTATTTATTTATTTTTGAGACGGAGTTTCGCTCTTGTTACCCAGGCTGGAGTGCAATGGCACGATCTCGGCTCACCGCAACCTCCGCCTCCTGGGTTCAAGCAATTCTCCTGCCTCAGCCTCCTCAGTAGCTGGGATTACAGGCACGTGCCACCATGCCCAGCTAATGTTTTGTATTTTTAGTAGAGACGGGGTTTCACCATGTTGACCAGGATGGTCTCGATCTCTCGACCTGGTGATCCACCCGCCTCGGCCTCCCAAAGTGCTGGGATTACAGGCTTGAGCCACCGCGCCCGGCTATTTCTTCTTTTTTATGCTTTTTGTGGCAAATATTGAAATATTGAAAAAAATTTTCAATTTTTTTCTAGTTGCATTATTTTACCTCTTATATTTAAATATTACTAGTTAATTTTTGTATATGGTATGAGGTAAGGGTCAAGGTTTTTTACACTTATGTAAATGTAAAAACATATTTTGGCTGGGCACAGTGGCTCATGCCTATAATCTCAGCACTTTGGGAGGCCAAGGCGGGCGGGTCACCTGAGGGCAGGAGTTCAAGACCAGCCTGAACAACATGGAGAAACCCTGTCTCTATTAAAAATACAAAATTAGACAGGCATGGTGGCACATGCCTGTAATCCAAGCTACTTGGGAGGGTGAGGCAGGAGAATCGCTTGAACCCGGGAGGCGCAGGAGTGAGTTGAGACTGCGCCCCTGTACTCCAACCTGGGCAACAGAGTGAGACTCCTTCTAAAAAAACAAATTTAATATTTACATTTGGAAAGGCATAGTGGTTCACACCTGTAATCTCACGACTTTGGGTAGCTGAGGTGGGAGGATTGCTTGAGTTCAGGAATTCAAAACCAGCCTGGGCAACACGGCAAAACTCTGTCTCTACTAAAACAATACAAAAATTAGCTGGGTGCCAGGCATGGTGGCTCATGCCTATAATCCTAGAACTTTGGGAAGTGGGCGGATCACCTGAGGTTGGGAGTTCAAGACCAGCCTGACTAACATGAAGAAATGCCGTCTCTACTAAAAATACAAAATTAGCTGGGCAAGGTGGCCCATGCCTGTAATCCCAGCTCCTTGGGAAGCTGAGGCAGGAGAATCACTTGAACCCGGGAGGCAGAGGTTGCGGTGAACCAAGATCACCCCATTGCCCTCCAGCCTGGACTACAAAAGTGAAACTCCATCTCAAAAAAAAAAAAAAAAAAAGCCGGGCGCGGTGGCTCATGCCTGTAATCCCAGCACTTTGGGAGGCTGAGGCGGGTGGATCACGAGGTCAGGAGATCGAGACCATCCTGGTCAACACGGTGAAATCCCGTCTCTACTAAAAATACAAAAAATTAGTTGGGCATGGTGGCGTGTGCCTGTAATCCCAGCTACTCAGGAGGCTGAGGCAGGAGAATTGCGAACCCAGGAGGCAGAGGTTGTGGTGAGCCGAGATCGCGCCATTGCACTCCAGCCTGGGTAGCAAGAGCGAAGTGAAACTCCGTCTCAAAAAAAAAAAAATTAGCTGAGTGTGACAGTGCATGCCTATAGTCCCAGCTACTCTGGAGGCTGAGGTGGGAAGGTAGCCTGAGCTCAGAAAGCAGAGGTTGCAGTGAGCCAAGATCTTACTACTGCACTCCAGTTTGGGGGAAAAAGTCAACTCTGTCTCAAAAAATAAAAATAAGGGTGGGGCCGGGCTCAGTGCCGCGTGCCTATAGTCTCAGCAATTCGGGAGGCTGAGGCTGGAGGATCTCTTGGGTCCAGGAGTTCTGGGCTGTAGTGCGCTATGCCTATCGGGTGTCCGCGCTAAGTTTAGCATCAATATGGTGACCTTCTGGCATCAGGGGACCACCAGGTTGCCTAAGGAGGGGTGAACCGGACCAGGTTGGAAACGGAGCAGGTCAAAACTCCCGTGCTGATTAGTAGTAGGATTGCACCTGTCAATAGCCACTGCACTCCAGGCTGGGCAGCATAGCGAGACCCCCTCTCTTAAAAAAAAAAAAAACGAAAAACAAACAAACAAACAAAAAAAGAATGGTCACAGTGGTTCATGCCTGTAATCCCAGCACTTTGGGAGGCCGAGGCAGGTGGATCACCTGAGGTCAGGAGTTCAAGACCAGCCTAGCCAACATGGTGAAACCCCATCTCTACTAGAAATACAAAAAATTAGCTGGACCTAGTGGTGCATGCCTGTAATCCCAGCAACTCTGGAAACTGAGGCAGGATAATTGCTTGAACCCAGGAGGTGGAGGTTGCAATGAGCCAACCCCGCCATTGCACTCCAGCCTGGGTAGCAAAGCAAGACTCCATCTCAAAGAAAAAGAAAAAAAAAAAAAAGGCTGAAATTCTGATTGAGACTGCATTGAATCAGTAGATCTCTTCCTTACAGGAGTTTTTTTTTTTTTTTTTTTTTTTTTTTTTTTTTTCTGATTAATCCTCTTTGCTTCAGCAGCAGTCCTCAACTCATGAATGAGCCCACCTTAACCTAGAATAGGACCAGTTTCACTGCAGGTCATGTTGCTATTTCTTAAACACCCTGCGAATGTACACACCTCCAGCCTTTGTACATCTTATGTTTTTTTTTTGGAGATGTGTGCCTTTATTTATTTAATTTCTTTCTTTCTTTTTTTTTTTTTTTTTTTTTTTGTATTTTTAGTAGAGACGGGGTTTCACCATGCTGACCAGGATGGTCTCGATCTCTTGACCTTGTGATCCACCCGCCTTGGCCTCCCAAAGTGCTGGGATTATAGGCTTGAGCCACTGCGCCCGGCTCTTTTTTTTGAGGCGGAGTTTCACTTTTGTTGCCCAGGCTGGAGTGCAATGGTGCAATTTCAGCTCACTGTAACCTCCACCTTCCGGGTTCAAACAGTTCTCCTGCCTCAGCCTTCCAAGTAGCTGGGATTACAGGCATGTACCACCATGCCGGGCTAATTTTGTATTTTTAGTAGAGGCAGGGTTTCCGCCATGTTGGCCAGGATGGTTTTGAACCCCTGACCTCAGGTGATCCACCCACCTCAGCCTCCCAAAGTGCTGGGATTACACGCATGAGCCATTGCCCCTGGCCAATGTGTGCCTTTATTAGTTGAGGCACTACTTGAGAGGGATGAAGCAGGAGGAGTGGGTGGCCCCGATGCCAGGCCAACCATGGTTCACAGGCTTGTAGGTGATGAACTTGCCCAGGTAGTGACCGATCACCTCTGGCTTGATCTCCACATGGTTGAAGGTCTTGCCGTTGTAGACGCCCACTGCACTGCCCACCATCTCGGGAAGGATGATCATGTCCCGCTGGTGAGTCTGCGTCTTCACCCCTTCTGGCTTCTCCATGGGCGACACCTCCTTCTTGGCCTTGCAAAGGCGCTTCTGCAGCGAGTGCTGCTTCCGCCGCAGGTCCGGGTTTAGGTCCGGGTTCAGCCCCGGCCACTGGTGCACACTGTACAGCTGCATCAGCTGTTCGTAGGACAGGTCCAGCAGCTGGTCCAGGTCCATGCCGCGGTAGGTCCACTTATTCTTCTGCTCCACCTCTGCCATCTTGCCAGATCCTCAGAAAAGCCCCCCCCACCCCCACCTTTTTTTTTTAGACAGGGTCTCACTTTGTTAAACAGGCTAGTGCCGTGTCCCAAACATGGCTCACTGCAGCCTCAACTTCCCAGGCTCAAGCGATCCTCCTGCCTCAGCTTCCTGAGTAGCTGGAACTACAGGCACATACTACCACACCCAGCTCATTTTTGTATTTGTAGTAGAAACAGGGCTTGGTCATGTTGCCCAGGCTGGTCTGAAACTCCTGAGCTCAGGCAATACTCCCATCTCAGCCTCCCAAAGTACTGGGATTACAGGTATGAGCTACCACGCTGAGCCCTCATTCTCTACTTACCTCTGCTGGGCACCATGGTACTCACCCTCAGCTCCAACGTTATCCTTTTGTGAAGCTGTCTCTAACTCATCTCAGACCCTGGCTGAATCATTCATTTGTCTGGGTTTCACACCACTTTGTCCTCATCTCCCTCACAGAAACACAGAACTTTGAATTCTAGTTAATATCACTTTAAGCGGCTACTACTTGTTTACACATCTTTCTCCCCTATTAGACAGAACTCTTTCAAGCAGGGACCATGTTATTTTTTGTCTTTTGAATTAGACTTTTTGAGATAATCATAGATTCATATGAAGTTCTAAGAAATAAATACAAAAAGGATCCCATGTATTCTTTTCCCAGTTTCTCCCAATGGTAACAGCTTTAAAAACTTTAGTGCAGGGCTGGGCACGGTGGCTCACGCCTGTAATCCCAGCACTTTGGGAGGCCGAGGCGGGTGGATCACGAGGTCAAGAGATCAAGACCATCCTGGTGAACATGGTGAAACCCCGTCTCTACTAAAAATACAAAAAATTAGCTGGGCATGGTGGCGCATGCCTGTAATCCCAGCTACTCAGGAGGCTGAGGCAGGTGAATTGCCTAAACCCAGGAGGCGGAGGTTGCGGTGAGCCGAGATCGCGCCATTGCACTCCAGCCTGGGTAACAAGAGCGAAACTCCGTCTCAAAAAAAAAAAAGAACAAAAAACTTTAGTGCAATAACACAACCAGAAAATTGACACTGATACAATTCACTGATCTTAGATTTCCCTAGTTTTACATGTATGCCGTATGTGTGTGTGTGTGTGTGTGTGTGTGTGTGTGTTTGCGTGTGTGCATTTGTAGTTAAGGATTTTGTTTGTTTGTTTTGAGACAGAGTTTCACTCTTGTTGCCCAGGCTGGAGTGCAATGGAGCAATCTCACCTAACTGCACCCTCTAAATCTCCTGGGTTCAAGCAATTCTCCTGCCTCAGCCTCCCGAGTAGCTGGGATTACAGGCACCTGCCACCACTCCCAGCTAATTTTGTGTTTCTGTTGGAGATAGGGTTTCTCCACGTTGGTCAGGCTGGTCTTGCACTCCCGACCTCAGGTGATCCGCCTGCCTTGGCCTCCCAAAGTGCTGGGATTACAGGCGTGAGCCACTGCGACTGGCCTATTTTCTTACTATTTAAACTTTAACAGTGACTTAATGTCATTGGCGTTGGGAATAGACGTTTTGAAAGTAACTTAGTAGCCGGGCGCGGTGGCTCAAGCCTGTAATCCCAGCACTTTGGGAGGCCGAGGCAGGTGGATCACGAGGTCAAGAGATTGAGACCATCCCGGTCAACATAGTGAAACCCCGTCTCTACTAAAAATACAAAAAATTAGCTGGGCATGGTGGCACGTGCCTGTAATCCCAGCTACTCAGGAGGCTGAGGCAGGAGAATTGCCTGAACCCAGGAGGCGGAGGTTGCGGTGAGCCGAGATCGTGCCATTGCACTCCAGCCTGGGTAACAAGAGCAAAACTCTGTCTCAAAAAAAACAAAAAAACAAAAAAACAAAAAAAAAAAACAACAAACAAAAAAAAGAAAGTAACTTAGTAAAGGCAGTTAAGCAAGCTACTTAGGGTATCGTGGGAGCCCAGAAGAAGCACCTAGTCCACTTTTGGAGGAGTTGTGGTGGTGAGGGAATGGGGAAGGACGTCACACTATGCCTTGGTCAAGGCCCGCTACTAGCAGCTGCTCAATAACTGTGTTAAATTAGGTCGAACCCAATGTTATTTTCCACGTTGTCTTATGCAAATCCTCACATCTCTGAATGCTCCATTATTTTCATATTTATTTGACAGGTGGAACATTCGAGGCTAGGAGCCCTTACATGCCCCGCCAGAGGTCACGCAGTTAGGAAGTGACAGGAGTGAAGTCAGCCCAAGTCTGCTGACTCCAAGCCCAGTGCTCTCTTCCTCTAATGGCAGTACGCGAGACACATATCCTCACCACATATGCCTTAACCCTAGTTGGAACTTTGCCTCCAACCCTATTCCTGTTTTCTTGGCTGTCTTACAAAAAAGACTTTTCACGCAGCAACTCCAGAGAGAACCGACGGAGCGTGCAACAGCCAACGCTAAGGATCTCAGCCGCCCTGCAGCCGGCAGCCACGCACGCATCACTCCCCAGCCAGGTGGGCGGCTGAACTGGCGCATGCGCACGCCGGGAGGTGGCAACCCAGAATCCCCGCCCAAGCCAGACAGAAGCGGAACCGGAAGTCGCTGTACGTCTCACGGTTGCTAAGAGACGGAGCTTCTATAAACCAGTTAGAGGTTCTCCAGCTTTTCTTGGATTTCTCTGCTTTAGCGTCTCTAAATCCGGTCAGCATGTCGGATCCCGAAGGCGAGACCTTGCGAAGCACCTTTCCCTCTTACATGGCGGAAGGCGAGCGGCTCTACCTGTGCGGGGAATTCTCTAAAGCCGCGCAGAGCTTCAGCAACGTGAGTCGCGCTCTGAACCTACCCGTCACCCCATCGCCCGTCCCTTTTTTTTTTTTTTTTTTTTTTTTTTGAGACGGAGTGTCGCTTTTGTTGCCCAGGCTGGCGTGCAATGGCGCGATCTCGGCTTACCGCAACCTTCATCTCCTGGGTTCAAGCGATTCTCTACCTCGGCCTCCCGAGTAGTTGGGATTACAGGCATGCGCCACCATGCTCAGCTAATTTTGTATTTTTAGTAGAGACGGGGTTTCTCCATGTTGGTCAGGCTGGTCTCCAACTCCCAGCCTCAGGTGATCTGCCCACCTCGGCCTCCCAAAGTGCTGGGATTACAGGCGTGAGCTACCACGCCCGGCCCACCCGTCACCTTTTGACTGCAGATAACACTGAGGTCTTGATGATGCCTGGAGGACTCTTGTTTCTATTCACTGATTCTTTTTTTTAATTTTTTTCTTTTGCCTTTTTTTTTTTTTTTTTTTGAGACGGAGTTTCGCTCTTGTTACCCAGGCTGGAGTGCAATGGCGCGATCTCGGCTCACCGCAACCTCCGCCTCCTGGGTTCAGGCAATTCTCCTGCCTCAGCCTCCTGAGTAGCTGGGATTACAGGCACGCGCCACCATGCCCAGCTAATTTTTTGTATTTTTAGTAGAGACGGGGTTTCACCATGTTGACCAGGATGGTCTCGATCTCTTGACCTCGTGATCCGCCCGCCTCGGCCTCCCAAAGTGCTGGGATTACAGGCTTGAGCCACCGCGCCCGGCCGCCTTTTTTTTTTTTTTTTTTTTTTAGCCTATAAAATCAAAAACAATATTCACTGATTCTTGATAGACACATTGCTGTCACAGATAGGCCTGGTGCTTGGTAATTTTCTACCAATTCCCACTTGCGTTCTCCATTCTCTGTGTTAACAGTGACCTCTTCCTCTACTTTTGCTTAAATGTTTCATGATTAACTGGCCTCCTTCCACAGAGCAGCCTTACCTACCCATCAAAATTTACATTTAACAATTTTTTTTTTTTTTTTTTTTTTTTTTTTTTTTTTTTTTTTTTAGCAATCGAAAATTTACCTACCCAATCCCTTGCCAGCAGATTGGCTGGGAGGTTGTGTGTAGAAGCCACAGTCTCCAGCACACAGTTGCTTACAAAAGGTGGATAGTAAGCAACATATTGTTATTAATTTCGAGACTAAAGTCTCGCCCTTTCGCCCAGGCTGGAGTGCAGTGGCGAGATCTCAGCTGACTGCAACTTCCGCCTCCCCAGGTTCAAGCAATTTTCCTGCCTCAGCCTCACACACACTGTTAAGCATACTCAAGTTTTGTTTTGTTTTTTTGAGACGGCCAAGGCTGGCGTGTTGAGTGCAATGGTGTGATCTCTGCTCACTGCAATGTCCACCTTCCAGGTTCAAGTGATTCTCCTGCCTCAGCCTCCCAACTAACTGGAATTACAGGCATGCACCACCACGCCTGGCTAATTTTTTGTATTTTTAGTAGAGACAGGATTTCTCCATGTTGGTCAGGCTGGTCTCAAGCTCCCAACCTCAGATGGTCTGCTGGGATTACAAGTGCGAGCCACCACACCTGGCCCATACTCAATTTTATAGATGAGGAAACATACAGAAGTTGAGCACCATGCCCAGGGTCACTGAACTAGCAAGTAGCAGAGGAGGGATTCAAAGCCGGGTTGAGACTCCAGTGCTGAGGTGCTAACCATTAAACTACACATCTGACATCTGCATAAGGAAACTATTTATTTATTTATTTATTTATTTTAGCAATTGAAAATTTACATATAACAGGATCTTGTTCTATCTCTGAGACTGGAATGTAGTGGTACAATCACAACTCACTACAGCCTGAAACTCCTGAGCTCAAGTGATCCTCCCACCTTAGTGTCCCAAGTAGCTGGAGCTACAGGCTTACACCACCATGCCCGGGTAATTTTTGTTTGTTTGTTTGTTTGTTTGTTTGTAGAGATGGGTGTTTTGCTGTATTGCCCCGGCTGGTCTTGAACACCTGGGCTCAGGTAATCCTCCCACTTTGGCCCCTTACAAAGTGCTAAGATTATAGGTATGAGCTACAGTGCCCTAAAAAGATGCCTTTATAACCATTTCTTTTGCTACAAATTGCCCACTTCTTATTCCAGAAGGAGTGGTACGATAACCCTCTAACTAGTCTCAAGACTTCCTCTAGGCCGGGCGCGGTGGCTCAAGCCTGTAATCCCAG